TCCGTCTGGAATAACACACTTATTGAAAGATGGGGTAGTAGTGTCTCTAGATTGTCGATCCTAGACGTGGACCCTAACAATGGACAGGAGTTGGAAGAAGCCATTACTGAGCACTTGTGTAAAGTTGTCTGTCATATCTGAGCCTAGGATACATTGCTCTATAGATGATTTACAGTTTAATAAGCTCTATTAGCAATCTACGAAGCCTCTTTTACTATTGAAGAAATTAAGGAGATTGTCTGCCACATGTTAAAGCACCAAGTCCAGATGTCTTCCATGCTGCATTTGTCCAAGAATATTAGGAAATCACTACAGAGGACCTCATTACTATCTTCAATTAATTCCATGAGGATGGGGTCGTTTATAAAGCTCTAAACTCTATTTGATACCTAAAAACAAAAGCATTCAATTGCTCCAAGATGTTAGACCTATTAGTTTTGCGTTTTCGTTCTATAGGATTGTCGTCAAAGTACTTGCTGATAGGCTCAAAACTGTCATGAATGAGGTAGTATCTAGCCCACTATCTGCGTTCATTAAGGACAGACAGATTAAGGATGGGATCTTGTAGCATATGAATTACTTCACAGTACTAGAAGTCTAAAAAAATGGGCACTTTTAAAACCAGATTTTGAAAAGGCCTGTGATAAGGTCGAATGGGATTACCTAGATTAAGTTATAGAATTAATGGGATTCAGAAGCAAATGGAGAAAGTGGATTCTTGACTGTGTGCGTTCTGCCCATTTCTTAATCATCATAAATAGAAACGAATGTGGGTATTTTAAGGCTTCTAGAGGCTTATGTCAAGATAACCCATTATCTCTTTACCTTTTCTCTTCGGTAGCATAATCTTTTAGTAAGACGTTGGACGAAGTTATCAGTCAAGGATTCATTCAAGGTTTACCTTCAACTGAAAATGGACCAGTCATCACAGATTTGCAGAATGCAAATGACATGCTTTTAACTGTGCAGGTTGATAGTCAATGCATAGAAAACCACTAGTTATTTTTGAAATTCTGAGTTGGTCTTTGCAACTAAAGTCAACGTGCACAAGACCAAAATGATTGGTATCAATTGTGAGGATAATGTACCAAGAGAGTAAGCAGAATGGATGGGTTGCGAGGTTGAAGGGCTGCTAGCAAAGTATTTGGGCTTACTTATAAGTGATGATAAGTTATTGTCAAGCTGCTGGAATAATGACTAGAAGATTCTAGATGAAACTAGATGGGTGGAACTGCATGCATGTATCATTCATAGGCTGGTCGATTGATTCTAATTAAAGCCACTATCTAATCATAGATGGGTGGAACTGCATGCATGTATCTTTCATTGGCTGGTCGCTTGATTCTAATTAAAGCCACTATCTAATCCCCTTATTTACGATTTTTTTTGTTGTTTATAGCCCCGTGACGTGTGGTGATATGATTATGAGGGATTTTTTTAGGGAGTGGCTCAAAAGATAGAAACAAGACTAGTTAGGTGAATTAGAATATAGTCTGCCTCCCCCAAGACAGAAGGTTGATTGGCATCCGTAAGCTCAGACCTTTTAATGAAGCCAAGCCTTATTACTAAAATGTTGGTGGAGACTACATAAATAGGTTTGGAGAGAGGTTATAAGAAAAAAATATGGCACTTCAAGTGATGACTTAATTGCAAAAAGTTGAAGCAAGGGGCCACGACATCAGCAGTATAGTATGGGTTAGGATACTGTTTGTTACCTGGTGGTTGGAAATGGGAATAGTACCAAGTTTTGGCTTTCAAGGAGGCTTGGGAGCAGCCCATTGCAATTACAGTACCAAGAATCGTACGAGAAATCCACCCAAAAAGGTTCCTTTGTCAGTGACATTGTTGTTGGTGAGGTAGTTAATGTACTATGGAATGTTGAACTGTAAACTAGAAGGGTTAACCAATTGATCGAACAACAATTTGGTAACCTCATGGCTAACACACATAACCTTTTCTTCTACCCTTATTGAGCAGATTGAGTTATCTGGGAATTAGACCTTAAAGTCACATTTTTGGGCAAATCCCTCTACAATGAACTGGTTAGGGAAAGATTTATTCCAGGTAGGCCGCTTCTCAGTAGGGTATGGAAGTATAAAACTCCTCTTAGTGTGAAAGCATTCCTCTGGCTTTTATTCCAAAATAGAACCTTATCCATGGAACAATTGAGGAAGAGAGGTATGATTGTCACAAACATTTGTTTGCTCTGCAAAGGAGACGTTGAAACCAAACCTCATCTTTTTTTTCCACTGTCCTTTGGTGAAGGGCATTTTGGATTGGCTACTTAGCGAGGTAAATTGGTTTTGGGTTGTGCCTCTATACCTGGATCAGATCCTTGTTTAGATTTGGTCACCACCTTTTTCCTCCCAAAGCTTACATCTTTGGAAAATTTAAATTTTAGCAGCTTCAGTGTTTATGGAATGTTTGGAAGGAAAGAAATACTCATACTTTTGAAGGGAGGTCCAAGGAAAAAGGTGAACTTTGCCGAGCCATTCTTCGATTAGCCACATTGTGTGCACAAACTCTTACCTATTACAAAGATGTTCAGAGGGAGTATTTTGAGAAAAATGTAAACCTCCGATTGTATTATAAAAAGTAGAGAATATTCAAACCCTTGAGTTGGATCCCACCTTTTATGTGGTGGGTCAAGCTAAACTTTGATGGGAGTGTGAGAGTGACGGGCCGGCTAGCAATCTTTGGGGACTTGTTGAGGGACATCTTTTGGGGGAAACAATATGGATTTATTAATGGAACCTGCATCCTTGTACGGCAAATGAAGCTGAGCTTTGGGCTTTGGAATTTGGTGCGATGAAGTTGGAGAATTTATATACTAAGGTCATCATTGAAGGTAACTCACCCAATGTTATCACTTGGTGTAGAAACCCGGATAAGACTCCATGAGCTTGGATTCTGAAGTAATATCTCCATTTTAAGAATCAATGTCAAAAAAACAAAATTCATTTTGCATATTACATATGGTCAAAATGAAGCCCCCACCAATAATTAATGGGTGCGGTTTGTTCAGAGCCGAGTCTCTAAACAATCAAAGTAAAGCGCATCTTCGAATTCTGTCGAGCAATGTGATTTCAACATTGAAAATCTTTGTGATAGTCTTAAAATATATTTTCATATTTAATTATCAAATTTAAAGCTTGAAAAATAGTGTAGATGAGTAGATCTATGTAAATTTAAAAATCTTGAAAATTGATGGTTCAAAAATGCATTACAAGATGTACTATTTCCAAAACTTAAAATCCATGTTTTTCTCATGTCCATACATCTTGATGTCAAGATGATCAATTTGATGATATTTGAGCATCAAAACAACCTCTTCTATTGAAATTTTTAAGGTGGGCTCTAATTTGATTTATTTATAGCCTCGGCTATGTATAAATTTTTTCCATAATCAATATCGACTTCCATTTAGTAAATGTTAAGATATAGGCATTTATGAACTCAAAATCATTTTTTTATTTTTTTGATATTGTTCATCTAATGATAACAAAACCATCTAAAATATTTGTTAAAGTAAAAAAAGATCCGTCGAAGGCATTGATCTAAGCGTGTCACCAAATGGAAGGCCAATGTTAAGTAGGTTAAAAAATTACTCTCTAAGGTTCATTTTCAAATTCTATTTTTTTGTGATTGTTCAAGAAAACTAAAAGAGTCTATATTAAAAAGTTAGGGTCAAAGAAATGGCCCTTGCATAGTTGTTTAAAATTGTTCCATTTTATTAATACAAAACCATTGCATCAAATCACTCCCGAATTTAATTTGATTGTCCTATTTGAGTGGTTACCAAATATTCGAATCAAACACAGAATAAATTATTAGGAGCATATCCCATTTAGAAGTTACCAGGTGAATATTTGGATGGAATATAAAATGGGAAGTAGGTAAATAGGATTAACTGGTTTCTATATTGTGAGGATCTAGAATGTTATTAATCTTCTATTAATGTGTTAGAAAATCTTTTAGATTTTAGGAGGTTACTGTTTTTATAGGTTTCTTACATAGGGGTCGCATCTGAAATTACATGCATCCTTCCCTGGTTGAATTGAATGAATGAGAAGAGGTTGTACTCTTCCCAAAGCATTGTCTTGTGTATTTTCATTCACAGTGATCTTCTAGCCTTTTGTTGGTCTCTTTCTTGTAATGTCAATATGTCAAGCCGTGGTTTATTCTCTCGGGTTCTCTGATAGTTCCCTTCTTCGTAATGAAAATTGAGAGCTCTTTTTCTCTCAGAAAAGGTCTCTATGCTCTTATGCTCTCTTTTGACAGTGTACTCTCTGGCTCAATAAATCTGCATGAATGATCTGTGTTGTGATCCTTGATCAGTGAGTGCATCAAACGTGGATTTCTCTACAGAGAATCGACAATCCTTCTTCCGAGTGACTCTACAATTATCACTTGTGAAACCCAAGAAATTCCCTCAGTATTATGAAAAGTCTGGACATTTTGAGTATACATCTTCGATATACACAACCAACACCAATATGGCATAGGAAATGTTCGGATTTTCTGTAAATATGTCACAGAATTGGTATTGTTCAGGAATGGGGTAAATTGGGCCGGGCAAAGATTCACCATCTTCATGGGGAAGAGATACACGACTAGCTCATGACTAGTTGGTGTTGAGCGTGGTTTTCTCCATGTCCTTAGGGGCAGTTTTGAAATAAATGAGATTTTTTTTTAATAACTAAAATATTCTTTTTACTTCATCACTTTCATTCCACGTTCTCTAAAAGCCCTCCACTCTTCTTTTCTAACCGTTGAAGTCTTATATACATGGAGGTAGGATTAGAGGTGCTTTGCACCGCATCCCCATCCATAGCCATGGAGGTAGGGTTAGAGGTGCCTTGCACCGCATCCCTATCCATAGCCTTGCAAGGGATACCCTAATTATCTATTGTAAAGTCATTTTGCTCCATCACTTCTCTCGATTGCTTTCTTTCTCTACATTGCTATTAATTCATAAATGCTACTAATTCATTCGTGCAGTAAGGTTTGGCATTGCTTATGATGCTTTAAAGGTGTGGATTTACTTGATCTCTACAAGCCGACCTATTGGTGAGTTCGTTCCATATTTATATTTGTCCATCTTGGTGTGTTTGATGACCATAATAGAGCATGAAATAGACGATAATAAATTGTGAATTTGAATATATATTTGAGAAACTTTTATTATAGATATATACTTATGATTCTTACGTGATTGGGGTGATTTTCATGTGAAGTATTTGATAATATATTCAAGTAAGGTTTAAAGTGAGATCTTGATCTAAATCTCATCATATCGTAACAGTTGGAGTGGGCCAAATTATGCTCAACCGTCAAATAAGCAGAGCATAGGATTGGGGTTATTCCTATTCAAGAAGGCGACGGCATTATGCATGAAGCTATATCAAATTGAGTGGAGCAGTGAAATGGGCTTATTCATCAAAACAGAATGTAAATTTGCACTGATGTCCTTCTCAGATATATGTAATAATGAACATTTTGGCACACAAGATATTAGGGACCAACACTCTTAAGGCCATCAGCGTAGACAATATAAATAACGAACACTTATAGGGACATCTTGTGCAACAGTTTAGCAAAGGCAGTAATGGAAAACAAACACTTATAGGGACATACTTGGTTATGGTACTACATGTGCTCACCACATAGAGTTACCAGATGAGTTGTTTAGGCCAACCTAAACAGGCACCTCTACAATATCATAACCCCTTACTTCCATATGCCTCCTACATATCCAAGCAATCCTCCCATCATCTCTATACCTCACTCTCCACAACCCAAACTTCTCCCCTATCTCCTTCCCCCCTAAACACCCCTGACTCCTCAACAAGTCCACCACCCACTGTCTCACGGCCCTCGTATCGCCATTAATATCCCTCCTTTCCCTTCTTGCTCCCATCGCAGCCATCCCCACTGCCCCTGCAGCAAGGGCAGCTGCTCCAGTGCCCCCGCCACCACCAAGTGCCGAACCCGTGATCATATGCGCAACCTCTTTGCTTAAGTCAGGTATCATTTCCCCTAACCCTGCTGCAAAATGAGCACCAATTTTTAACGCAAAGGTCAACAGTTTCATGAATCCTGAGAGGTAGGGTACTAAGGCTTGGATTGTCTGACTGTCAACTCGAAGGAGGTCACACCCAGGCTGCCCGTCCACTACGTGCATCTCACGACGGAACTCGCAGAAGAAATGCAGTCGCAGACGGGTCATTCCAGCAAAGAGCGAAGTCACTAGCCGCTTCGTGTATCTGTTTCCATTGCCTATGGCTTCTACTATATAGAAGAGTTGTGGCACCTTGCGCTCCTCTAGGTTGGCACTGTAGTTCACGAGGCTGTCTATTTTCCGGCCCAGCTCTGTGAGTATCCGGTGTTCGTAGTATCTGAGCCCTTGGATCTCTGTCTTGATGTCTCTGATCTCTTGTTCAATCACCTTCAGCCTTTGTAGCACTGCCTCCACCCCCTTTGCTATGCCTGAAATAGTTGGATCCACGGATTCATCGCGGCCCTCTTGGATGTTTTTTTCTGGAGGGGGGGGCTTATTTTCATCTGGAATTTCAAGTTCGAGAGCTAAGTTATGAAGGTCATGATACCTAGTTTGCAAGACCTGTCGAAAATCCTCATCAGAAAGAAGGTCTCTGGCGAAATCAAAGCCGGAACTCAAAACAACTCTGCTATTTTCCGAGACAGAGCTCCATGTATGTTGGTAACTATACAAGTTATCAGCTGGTACAGTGAGGAGGGTTTGTTTGAGCTGGTTTAAGGGGAAATACTGAGTTTTTCTATATCTTGGAGGGGTGAGGTCTGTAATGCACTGCGTCCTTATCACACTTTCTCTAAGAATTACACCATGGGAGAGCTTGTGGATGCTGGGGATTATGAGTTGCTGCATGATCCTTAAGATTTCAGAAGTGGACTTGGTGGAGCAGGCTAGGATGTCTACAAAGTGGGCTAGGGGGCCACCGAGCTCGACTCTGATGTTCACGCCGTCGATGGCTATGGAGATTAGGTATTTCTCGAGATTGTAATCTGCGCTTTGTGCCTGGCTGTTTATTCCCATGATCTTGTTGTGGAGGTGGACCTGGTTTTAGAATATAAACAGAGAAGGTGGCGATGTCATTACATGAAAGACAGGCCATTTCTTTCACCCCATGATCCTAGTGATCATGTGAAACCTATGGTCATGAGCTTCATCATTGTCCAGGTTTGGATGGTGCTGGAGAGAGACTGGGCCCTGCTATAGAATAAAATGACTTGGACGATGAGTCCCACTCTTCCCTCCCGCACAATCTGATCAGTTGATTGGATGGTGATGACACTCGTGATCATAGATTTTATATGATCATGATGGTGGTACCATATAATTTCTCTAAGCTCTAAAGATAAAGAAGAGGCAATAAGAGGGGAAAAAAAGGAAGTACTTTAACGATGTTATGAAGTATCCACTGTATGACACTGCACGACAATAGGGTGCGGTTTGTATAAAGTTGGACCTTTAAAAAATCCATGACTATATGATTAGGCTATTTTAGTGGAAAAGGATGCGTTTTAAAACCCGATGATTTTTAATCTAGATTGCTAATATAAATTGGAATCGCACTCGGCCGAATCAGTTCTAGGATATTAGAGGCCCTAGTTAGGTTCTCCCCAAGACCCCACCTCTTATATATATATATATTAAATTTTTTTTTTTAAATTTGTCTAATATTTCAACTTAAATCCTTACCCCATTAAACCTTTTTTTTTTTTTATTTAATTTATATATACTAAATTAAATTCAAACTATTATTCTAACGACCAAACATGGATTTGTGGGTGAATAACTCGTCCTCCCACTAATCCAAAATTTAAAACACTCGGAAAAAGAAGGAACGAGACGTTTGGAACAAAAAGTCCGACTACCAAAGTATAGAAGAGCATAATCTAGAGCAACATTTGTAAATCATTGTCGAATCAAGGGACGGAAGGTGATGTCTTGTTTTAGTGGGACCCAGAATTTGGGTTGTACTTTTAAAGTGTGTTGTCTCTGTCAACCACCGACCATCACACCATTGGATGGTGATGGTGATGGTGATGGTGTTGAGAGTCTTTGAACTTGAAAATGTGCAACAAGAGAGAGAGAGAGAGAGAGAGGAGATCGAATTACCTGCAACCGAGGGAAAAAGGCAGGAGTGAGAAACATGTGCCTTGACTCATCACACTCCAAATGCCTTCCAACAAAGACACTCTCCGGTGAAACAAAAGGCCATCTCTGCAACTTCCCCCTCCCTTCCTCTAGCATAGCAGGAATTAACAATGGAGAATTCAAATCTCCAGCCACTTGCTCATAACAGAGCTCCAATTTTAGCATCATTCTCACTAAATCACTCACCCCAATTGAAGGAATTTGACCCACCAAAATTTTCTCCAACTCTTTTCTAGTTATGAACCCACTGTTACTTACTGCGCTCTGAGTTTTCCCGCCAAACCTCACCAATTTTCCAATCACTTCGCTAGAAAACCAAGAGCAATCCAAAATTAGGACACCCAATTCATCGAATGTGATTATCTCTCCCAAATTATGGAGAGAGAGAGCCATGGTTCGACGCTTGGCCTCAATTCTCTCTCTGTCGCCATGCCTTGATCGGATTCTGAGTGATGGGATTCTTTTTTGGCATAATTCGGAGAATTCAGGCCATCTAATCACAGGTTTTCTATTGTTTTCCGATCTCCACCATGACAAGGCATCAAGCAAATCGTAACAGAGTTCATATAGATGCGGGGCTCTCTCAATTACAGTTTTGCTTGTCTTCCTCAAGTGTTTTGCAAGCCTGGAAATGGAGCCTGAGGACCTTGCATCCACGGTAAAAGCAATGGGGTAAAGTTCCAAGAAGTTCTTGAACTTCTCTCTAAGTTTGTGAAATAAATTGGGTATGAACTCTGATGAAGATTGAGTGATTTTATCAGAGTGGGTAAGGATTACGGTGACATTTGGCAGAAGAGCTTGGGTTTCTGGTTCTGATCTTCTCCTTGAGTTTGAGACTATGAATCTAAGCCAATAGAGCAAATCCTCTTCTATCTCTTGTGGGGTTTTTTTCTCTGTGTTGTTGGGTTTTCTAAAATGGTTCGAGACAATGAAGAAGAAGGATGGGCTACTAGAGCTCGGAAACATGAGGTCATGGAAAGCATGGAACTCGGGCTGGCCCGGAACATCCCATATCGATATATCTGAATCATCATCTTTGAAAGTTTTTATCTTTACTCCCTCTGTTCTTGTGATTTGATCTATTGAGTTTGCTAGTGTTTTGATCTGATCCAAATATGGAAGCTTGGAGCCTGTGAACGCACTGACCATAGAGTTGCAGAGGGTGGTCTTACCTGTGAAAATGAAAATGAACCATTGAAATGTTAGTGACTTAGTGTGGTAGTGGAAAAAAATTAGGTGATATTCTCAGCTCTTTCTAGTGGATAAAAATTAGGTGATATTCTCAGCTTTTTTTCTCTTTGACAAATAAATTGTTTTCTCTCACTATCGTTTTCCTGCAAGTTCCTAATGCAGTTGTCTTTAATTACTGGGTGATGGTTTCAGTCTTTTTTTTTTTTTTTGTCTTTTGTCTTTCAAAGAAATGGGTTTTCTCTGCTGTCTTTAAATTGGACGTTCTAAATGCAAAAGGTATTTGGTAGAAGGGGGAGAATAGGTTCTGCAATTTCTGTTCTGATGAAATAGATTTTTCTTCTTTCTCACTCTTTACTTGCAAATTCTTGGTATAATTGTATTCAGTAGGAACTAGAGGATGGTGAATGCAATTTTCCTGTTGAAGGAATAGCATTCTTGTCTCCGTCACTTTCCTGAAATTCTTAATGCAATAGCAATTTATAAAAACTGGGCCGATGGTTTCTTCAATTTTTTCTTTAGAAATAGAATTTCTGATTCTATCTCTTACCTGCGAACTCTTGTCCAAAGAGGAAGACCCTGCAACTCTTAGGCTTTGTCATTGGCATGTCATGGAGAAGACCCACCTCTGATTCTATCCTTCCATTCTGGCCAAGCTTCTTATAGATGGCCTCGGTTTTTCCATAGCTCTGTAATGGAGTCCCTGATAGATCAATGTCTTCAATCCATGGATTGACCTCCAAAGTATCCATGATCGCCTGAAACAGCGACTCTCCCTCTACCCCTCTGCAACCTCTCAAAGACAAGCATTTCAGTGTTGTGTTCCTTTCTAATGCCCTGAAAGCCCTGATAAAATCATGGCTTCTCAAGCTAGTGTCTTCACAAATACCCAATTTCACCAAGCTCTGATTTGTGGCCAACATTCGCAAAATTGCAGCCATTCCTACCCTATTGATATTTGTTTTCTTACCTCCAAGAAACAAACATTTAAGAGAAAGATTAGCCTGGTTCTGTGTAGCAGAAAACCGGCTCAATGGGCATAGCAGATGCTCAATCCCTATACCACCATAGATATTACCCTCAAGAATTAATGTCTCTAAACTCTGGTTCATGAAAAGCCCGGCTGCTATATACACAACCCCTTTATCTTTCAATCTGGTTTTTGATAGATTAATATGTTTAAGGCTCCTGTTTTCTTCCAAAACATTTCGAAACTCCTTTGCCCACTTTGACTTCAGTTGAATTCCAGTTAGGTCAAGTGACCGAACTGTTGAATTATAGCCTAAAGCTCCAGCCACTCTACAAGAACCAGAGAGATTTAGCCTGTAAATTCTCAGAGCACTGTTCTCTGGTATGAACTCCACTACCTTCGTGTTTTTCTCTCTATTCTCTCTGTTCCAAACATGGAGTTCAATCAATCTATTTCGAGCTAGCACAGCTGAAATCAATGGAGTTGCAGTGAGAGATTGGGAATCAAGAATTATGAGAAGTTTAAGGGTAGAATTCACCTCTATCATCTTTGACAGCTCTTCTGCTCCTTTGGACCCAATCGAATCATCCCATATCTGCAATTCTTCCAAGCTTTCATTCCTCTTCAAAGAAGAAGCAAGCATTGTTGCTCCTGTGCATCCAATTCGTGACTCTGAGAATATAATCTCTTTCAACCCACGGCTCTCTCCCAACATCTCTGAAAATTTCGATAACCATTCAGAGTCCAGAGAGTTTCTATGGAACACAAGCTGCCTCAGTGTTGAGGGTGGCTCCAATAGTTTACAGAGACTGTTGAGTTGCTCAGGAGTTTCCCATTGAACCCAATGAAACTCCATGGTTTTTAGAGCACTATTCTGTGTTTTCTTTCTTGGTGATGATAAGGCTGATAGAAGCAGAGAGAAATGATTGTGGCTTTCTCTCTCATCTGATATGTTAATGGTCAATGAGGTTTCTGTTTCTTGATAGCAATTAGAAGTGGTTTGGCAGTGATAGAAAGAGATCGTCTGTAAATTCAGGTTTTCTGAATTTTGGAGAGCTTGAATTGCCCATTCAATGTTCTTGAAGTTGCTCCTTGAGGCCATGATTTCTGTTGGCTCAAGCTATAGTTGCAGGCCCACGTATCTTGGCTGTAACAATTAACTTCTAATTGTTGACTCTCAGGCTATTCTTGATGATAGAAACAGGTTCTCTCTCTCTCTCT